ATTTTACTTATATCATAAGTGTTCAAGTTCAAAGGGTGAGAAAAGAATACATATCTCAAGTGTTGATGGTTTTTCCAGTTTTTTAGACAAAATATTCAGTGTTTTGAAATACACGTTTACAGACATAAAATAAAAATTTAAATTTTTTGTAATAGAATTTTGCAAATATGAGATAAAATCTCAAAGTTTAAAATAATAGGCATGTATGAGAAAAAAGTTCTTTCTTCAGCAGTCTATACACCTGAGTTGATTGAATCCTTTCTGACTTGGGAGACAATTTCTTCTTTTTTATAGCTAGTCAATGGTTCTAAGCAGGACAAAAAAAAAATGAACTCCCTTGATTCAGATACATTTATTTCCATTGGTTTACAAATTGAAAATGTAGCTACTTAATTAAACTGCATCTTTTTGCAAATTTTAATTTAGTGGATATTTAATATGAAATTGTAGCTTTTATTTTGCAAATAAATTATGTATGTTTTTTTATATACAAACTGACTGGCTTCATTTTGACATTTACTTTTTTTGTAAGAAATTCTTAATAACTCTGTTTGACTATTTTTCATTATTTTTCATCACATAGTTTTTTAAAAATTTTTTCAATAATTTTATATTCTAGTTTTTATATAATTTTAACATTTTCTTTTTTACAAGATAAATACTTTTTTTGTTTAAAAAGCAAAATAATTTCTTTCTGGTTCTAAGTGTTCTTTTTGTTTTCATTTTCCTTACAAATTGTCATTGCTCACAAGCTCTCCCATAGTATTCTCAGTATCCTTCTGTAGAACCACATTTCTTTTGCCTCATTTCTTCTTCGGCTGTGATGAAATTATTCTGCATTCATTTCAATATTGGAAGATTGATATTAAATAGCTTTTTCAACATTCTTGTTTTTTGTTCCTTACTTCTTTGCTTAGCTTTTGGAAAACTTCTTTTACTAATCCAATGTTTATTCAAAGAATTTTAAAAAATTGAAATTCAAGACTTTTTAGATATTTTATTAATTTTGTTCTTAATAATTTGACAATCTTGGAAATAATTTGAGTCAATTAGGATTCCATCATGGTAAAGGTGGAGTTTTTCATAATTCACATATATTAATACAATGTAGACCAGCAATTCCAAACCTTTTTTTTGTGTCATCATCCACTTTCACATGTAAGAATTTTCCACTGCCCACCTGTATTTTAAATACCAAAATTCTTTGGCAAAAGTTTGTTACTGGTTCATGAACTGACTTTATGTGGCAGTAAAAATACCAAAATGTGGTAACAAATAATGCTGACTTATGTGAATGCTACTTCTGCTACTACCATATTAAGGAACAAACAAAAGCAAACTTGAAATTTGAAAATAATATAATATATATATATATATATATATATATATATATATATATATATATATATATATATATATATATATATATATATATAATTTAGGTTTATGGTTAAGGTTAGTGTTGACAAAATATTAAAAGATTTTTGTTCATAATTATAAAATTAAAAATAATATATGCTCCTAACAACATTCAGAATATTTTTACTTTTATTTTTTGTTATTTTCGGTCTCCCTTTGTCTGACTTATATCAGAAAAAAATGTTATTTCATCTAAAAAAAAACAAACTATTATAATGTCAATGACTCTTCTCAAAAGTATAGAAAATGGTAAAATTTCCTTGTTTGCAGGGATATTTATATCTTATCTAGGAATGGGACCCAGTTATTCTCATTTAACCTTCTGTTTTTATTTTTTTTATATACAGGTTCTTTGAATAATTTCTTCGTTGGGTAACATATGTTGAAATAAAATTTAATACTCAAAATTCTATATTGCCAACCAAAATTTCCAATCACCCATCATTTTCTGTTCAATTGCTCATTATCGACCCAACAGTTGAAATCACTCACTAGTGAACAATATTGCCAAGGTTGGGAAACCTTGGTATAGACCATAAATAGTCAAATTATTACATTGTCATTGTAAGACATTTCTTTTCTAGTTTTCCAGCAAACTATTTGCTTTAAAAAGGAACATAATAATATGAATCAAGATTTAAGCAAAAGCAGAAAGGTGACAATTGCAAAAGAAGATAAAATTGATTTTCAAGATGAGAAAGAATCTCAAACTCAAAAAAATACAAAACTAGATTTTTTTTTATTCTTGTTGTTTATAAGCAACATTCGTCAAAATCTCATTTAACACTTGAAGCATTTTTAAAAAAAGAATAATCTTAAATTTCATCAAGTTTTTAAAAATATGGTTACCAAACTTTCAACAAATCTCCATTTTTATTGACATGTAGGAAACAATTTTTTTTTTTTTTTTTTTTTTTAAACTTACTGAAAAATATCACCTTACCTTTTGGGAAGATGAAGGCTTTTCTTAAAATATTTACCGCAGATTGTCAAAGTTTCTGAAATAAGTAAATAATAGAGTATTTTTTTTTTTTTTATGTGACTTTTTCCTTATATGATTCTGTATGCTGTCAAACAGAATATATTTTTAACTGATTTATCATTTGAAGGCATTTAAGTCATATTGGAAAATGTTTGCACTTCCTTTAACAGTTGAGTTAAAATTCCTCAAAAGTCTTGTAAATGAAACAATTACTGTACTGTGACCATTTGCAGTCATGACAAATCAGTTATATTAATTGTAACTATTCTTGATTTAATAAGTACATTTCTACACACTTCATGTCCCATGATTAATTGCCTGACATGCCAATCAGAAAAATCAATGTAAGTAAACAAAAAAAGGATGGTTATTATTTTTAGTTATTTTAATCTTGCCAAATATTGTTTAATTAAAAAAGAAATTGACACACTGTTTCTTTAAAATGAAAGTGAATTGATCAAGAAAATGTTTCAAGATGCTAATGTTGATTTTAATTTGGTTGCATAAGATTCTCTAAATGTAGTTTTTATTAAGATTTTTAATGATTTGTATTTTATGGCTTATCAACCTTTTATAGATTATTATAAAGCCAGAAAATATATATATATATATTTTTTTTTTTTAGAGTGTAATAATTTTTGGAGAATGATTTACTGATACAAGTCCTACTAATTAATCCATATCTGGGGGAGAAGAGGTGGATTCATACCCCCTTTTCCACAGGTATTTGCATATAAGTTAATATAAATAACCCAATTGGAATTGGAACACGACTCTCCGATTTCCAATTTTGAGCTATTATCCAATACATCTCTGCACGTCCAAGCTTCCAGTACATGGTATTCTGAAGAGGTCACCCATTAGGTACTGACCAGGCTTGATATTGCTAATCTTTGGTGATCTTGTGAGAACCAGTATTTCAATGTGATATGGCCATAAGCCTATTTTTAATAAGAATTGATATTATAAGCTAAAACTGACATGATATATTGCTTGTATAGATATATCTTGAACTTTTTTCCTAAATTTTTTTTCCTAATTTTACTAACATCAGTTGGTTGATAGCAATTATTTTGAAGACATTAACTTGATTAGTAAAATATTGCATGTTATGATGGTTAGCTGAAAAGTTCATAGGCTGACCCAGATACACTTATGGAATCTGACTAAATGAGGTTTATTTTTCAACATTTTACAAATGTTGTTTTATCAATCTTTTTAATAAGGACTGTCATTATAAGCTGAAACTCAGATATATTGCTCATATTAATACTGAAATATTTTATCAACATCAGTCGATTGGTACCAATTATATTGCAAAAACACTGAATTGCACAATAAAATGTGACAGAAAAATACTGATCTTCTAATGTTATTTCATTTTTCTCTGAAACACTTTGCTAAACATGTGTATGGTAGCATGGAAGAACAAATGAATAAAGCTGTCCCACCGGTGAAGTGAAAGGAAAAGAAGACAAGTATTCTTTTGTATTGCCGATACAGTGGATGCTTACAAATGTAAGCAAAGGAGGTGTCATTGAAGTAAGTGTAATTTTGGTAAGGCCTGGAGTAGAAATGTTCGTCATTTGTCAGGTTGGTTGAACAAGATCATGATGATGTCAAAGGGGTCTTGGAGTGGAAAAGTGAAGCTTGTTGTTTGCCATAAATCTGGCTCAGTTGTTTGAGTAGCTTTCATAAAGCAGATGTGTTAGCTTCCAGACTTGTCCTTTTTTTCATATTTTTTCCCTTGATGGCAATGTTCATGATAGGTTTCTTTTATGTTGTGCTTTTTGAGATTTGTTTTGTGAGCTACATGTGATGTTCTGAGCCCCTGTGCAGAGGATGACTTTCTTATTTTTGGTTTTGCTTTCTTAGCATTCACATACAGCCAACATGTAAAGTGAGCCATCAAAGAGATCTAATTTGAAATGGAGTATAACAGTAAGGTAAATTTGTAAGACAGTTTTTTGTTTTTTTTATTTATTTGTTTTTTACAGCTTATCAACCCTTTGCAGGCTATCTTTTTCACCAGAAAATATTTTTTAGATTGTAAGATTCATTTTTTTTAGTTAATGATACAAGTTTTACTAGTTAATCCATAGCTGGAGGAGAAGAGGTGGATTCATATCTTATCACAATTTGATAAACAATAAGAAATTATAATATCAATATAAATTGGAGGATAATTTCTATAATACAATCAATATATAAACTAATTCCTCCCTTTATGGCCAAGGTAGTTTCTATATATTTATATTTCAGAGAATGTAAATAAATCTAAAAGACACGTCTGTGTACCTAATCAGTATTTCATTGTTTCATTTTTTTTATGGCTTATGAATGATTTGCAGGATATTTAAAACCAGAAAATGTCTTTAGATTGTAAGATGTCTTTTTTATTTTTTTTAATAATGGTCAAAGGTGATAATAATGGGTTAGAGGTAAGTCTTAATAATTAATCCATAGATGGAGGAGAAGAGGTGGGTTCATACCCTTTCTCAAGGGTATTTGCTCATAAGTGAACACAATGGGAATTGGAACTCAACTCTGTGATTTAAAATTCTGAGTCATTACCCCTTACAACACCCACACATCTATTGACAGCACCTGGTATTTCCAAGTGGTTACCCATCTTGGTACTGACCTGGCTCAATATTGCTTAACTTCAATAATCATATGAGAACTGGTGTTTCAAGGTGATGTGGCCATAAGCTTCGTAAAAAAGTTTTGTAAATGCAAATATCAATCAATATTTTTTAAATTTCATGGTAATTGTTCAGATGAGCTCTTCACTATGGTACTAAGACTCTTCAAATTTAAGTGCAGTACTAGACTAGTAACAAGGTCTCACCAATTTATAGTTGTGCTGGTTAGATGTAACCATAAATTCTATGCTAACAGTTTCTTATCTCACACTTTCAACTTGTGGAACTCCCTTCTGGCTCCATTCTTTCCAACAAACTTTAATCTGCAAAAATTTAAATGTAACATCAATTGCTATCTGTCTTCCTTATTACCCTACTTGAGTTTGTGCTCCTTATGTTCCTGTTGTTTGAATTCTTTCACACCCAGTAACCACTTACATCTCTGTGGCTTTACAATCTTGCTTGGAGTGAACTCAATTTAAAAAAGAAAAATTACATTGATCCAGAAAAGAAAGAAAAATAAGAATATATATATATATATATATATATAAAAAAGCAGCAAAATATTCTTGAAATTTTCATGCAAATTAAGATTCCCATTTAAGAAAAAGTCTCCTGGTCTGATATTCCTTGCCATCTTCTGCAAGATTTCAGACTTAGACCTGACAAACATTTAAAGGTATTTCATTTGCATGAAATAATTAACCTAAAGCAGAAAATAATTATTACCTACCCAACACCGTCCCCATCAGTTGGCCATCGACTTTTGTTAGCGGCAGAAGGAAAATCTGTTAAAGACACTCTTATTTGATTCTCATGTGGATTGACTAAATATTTTGCATTTCACTTCATACCATTCATCTGAAAACCAAAATTTGACAATGTCATCAGATGACAATGGAAGACCTGCTATTGTGACAATCGATATACAACACTGGAGATGCTTAATTTGGAAAGGCTTTGGAATAATTTTTTTTATTCTAGGAAAGACACCTGTTCTTTAACTCTAATTAAGGAGCAAAATCTTGGTAAAAGACCCATTAGATTATTTGACACAGTCTACATGTGTGTAGTGGGGGGGGGATGTATATATTTACATATAATTATGTACCTAATATATTATAGAGCGAGAAAGATGGTATCACAAACTTCCTAAACTTAACCTTAAAAATTGCACCATGACTCTATTAAATAATATACATAATGTATTATTTAAATTTGAAAAGAAATCATCCTCCTGGGAATGAACAAAACAATTCCAACTTGATGGGGCTAGAGGAGGCGGGGTGATTGCATATTCAAGGTTTCTGTGAAAATCTTGTGGTTTCAGTCATGAGAGAAAGTTAAGAAATTGTTTGGTGATAGTCTTCATAGACGCGTTTGTAAAATTTTTTCTAACTAATTTATTTAAACAAAATAAAATTTAATAGAAAGAATTATTTGATCAATCAAAATACTCATTACAAGTTGCTATACATTTATTTCACCTTGGAAGCAAGTCATCAATTCCATTCCTAAAGAATTGAGAACTTCTTGCTTCTAAGGAACTGGTCTAACTGCTTGAAAAAGTAATAATTTATTGGAAAAATGTTTGAATAATCAGGTTGCAATAAAATCTCCATCTTCAACTGATTTAATATCATTTTTGCTATATGAAGACAGTAAAATTGTGTCATTTCTATTCACCAAATTTAGTGCTGTTTGTTAGTTTTGCAGACACTATTTCAAAATGGCTTGCATATGTCATATGCATTGTTTGGTTACTTTTAACAAAACTATGATGCATTAAACCATAATTGATCCATATATTCCCAGAAAAAATAATGAAATTCCATTTGATGTTTAAGCTTCTCCTTCACATGCAGTCATTGTGCAGAACTTCTCCAGTTATTATACAAAATCTTAGTGATAATACAATGCAAAAATGGAATAATTTCATAACATTAAGCCTCATAAATTTGAGCCTCTGTTTGATTTTTCTGTCTATATTTCTGAGATGACGTATTCTGATTATTTACACTATTTACATAGTCCGGACTGTTATCGTCATCTTTGTTCCCACATTCACATTTTGGTCATACTATGTGACAGTCTTCTTCAGATAATTGCAATTTTGAACTGAATCCTTTATTTTGTCCACCATTTCAAGTCTCAGTCATTTCCCTTAAACTCAACTCTCCAAGATTTTGTTCACCTCTGTTGTAGCCAGGTATTGAACTCACAACTCTTTGGGTCAAGTCACTGGATTACTTCAACCAATGCTTTTATCTACTGGACCATGTACCCCAATGGAGGAAATAAAGTGTTCAGTTCTAAATCCCAATCACCTGAAGAAGGCCAGAGTGTACAACAACTGAAACATTGTGAATTTGAAAACAAAGATGAGGATAACAGTCTGAACATTGTAACTAGTGTAAATGTTTGATTTTATTTTTTTTGTTTCTCATTCTACTCAAATATAATTCATTCATCGGACTTATTTTTCATGTCAGTCATGATTAAAAAATTTGAGATGGTTTTAATCAATAGAAGGATGTTTACTGACTGAGGTTTTTGGATCATTTTCAAATAAATTCTTTATAGCTTCATCATTGAATCATGGTTTTGGAAACTCTTAATTTTCTACACTGAATTCTACACATGCAAATTTTTAAACTCAAAAACACTTACTCTTCAGTCACTAACTGTATTGTCTCCAAATGTAAGAATTTTTATTCTTTATAGTTCTTTAAGACCGACTTTCAAAACATTCAAGTTTAAAACTGATGAACCAAGGAGAGGATTTCTTTGCAATTTAAGAATAGGTTGTAGAATAATATAGTTTTTTTTTAATTATAACAAATAAAATGAAAATGCAGTCAAGTCTTGACTCTTATAGGTTTAACTATTGTGGTGTTGTGAATTTACCATCAAAAATTAAATGGGGACCTTTTTATTGGCCAATTGCAAATGACACATGTAGATGAGAAAATGTAAAGAAAATAGGAAAAAGGTTAGTAAATGCATCAAATATTTGGACAGTTATATTGAAGGAAAAACTTTTTTTTTTTTTTTTTTTTTTTTTTTTTTTTTCAGACTGCATTGACAGGAAAAATACACTGAGTAAACAAATGGATTTTTCATTTATAAATGGTAAAATGTAAGAAATATTTTTGCAAAATCCAGTGACCTGTTCATTAGCTATTTTCCTTCATTCTCAATTCTTCAGATGGAAGATTTTATTTCTGGAAGATTTCTATTGACAGAACTAAATTTAACTGCCAGCACATCTGTTATGGCGTCAGAATGGATAACCAAAAAATTAAATGCAAACACCAATTTCAAGGGCACATAACTCTGTTCTGATAAAATAAATAATTCTTATATCAGACTTTTCTCCAATTCTTTTTTTTAATTATATAACTTTGTTAAATATGGTCAACAGAATTAATAGGTAAGGTTTTGGAATACAGGTTCCTACAACGCTAACCCCAACCCCTGTAAAGGGCTGAGTATAATAGAATTTATAGTTTTAATTTAAGTACTGCTTTCTCTTTACTGTTAATGGATAAATTCTTATTTTTAATGCTCCACAACATTTTGGAAGAAAATATTCTTCATGTAAATATTTATTTCAATTTCTGCTGTTTGCTTCTATTAATATAACTCTTATATTTAGCAAAGAGCAAAAATAATAGGAACATGGAATAGTTTGTGGCTAAATACAGTTCATTGCTTCTTTATGTCCTTTTAACATGATGACGAATTTTTCTCTTTTGCTCATACTTGGAAATTTGATTATTAATAACAATTGAAATAGAAATTTCTCTATTAGAAACAAATACCATTATTCGACTGTTGTTTATTTTGGTAAGGGTTCTCATCTAGAAGAAATTACAATATCTGTATTGAATGTGATTTTTTTTTTTTTAATCATTTACAATGTAATTAAAGATCTTAATTTGTGTTAGTCATTACTTTTTTGTTTTGATTTTGTTTTTTCAGAAATTGTCAATATATTTTTGTTTAGCAAAAATAAAATGGGCATAGTTAAGAGAGAAAAATTGAAAAACAAATATGAAATGTGGAAAAAAAAATAGACAACAACAGAATGAGCTAATCAGCCATTAATCTTCATTCATCAGAACTTGGTCAAGGAAAGTAAAATATTTGTGGCCAACCAACTAAAAAGGAAGCATGAACAAGAACATATAACATGGGTATCAATAATGAGAACATTTTTATAAACAAATCCCAATCAAACCTAATAACAACCATTCTTTCTGTTTATAAAAAGGAAAGTTGTGTTGATTTAATGAATATAGTTTCAAGGACTTTTCAATGATAGAATGTGATTCACACACAACTGAGAATATTTTGTATAAGGTTTTTTTTATGATTAGTTCTTTTCCCTTTTTATCCCTTTTAATTCTCTCTTAATTATATCCATTTTTTTTTTTTTTTTTTTTTTTTGCTATAATTAAAGGTCGTAGTCTAAGATCTTAAAATATTTTTTTTGTTTTATTTGCAAATAGTAAACATAATTTATGACAATTTATTTTGTTGGATTAACTTATTTTCCTCTTCCACAATAAATATGCACCATCCTTGGTTGGCCATGTCACCCTCCATAGCCAGTCAGTGAAGTATAGTCAGTACAGAAGACTGTTTTCAAGGATACGCCAGCAAGAGAAGATGTTTTTCTGACACATTGATAAAAAACAGCCTTTTGCAATCTGATATACTATTCCTGTGAGTAAAGACTGCTTTTGTAACATCCATTAGCTTTCTACTTCAGGGTTTGAGAGAAGGTATATAACTCATTTCTATACTTTGTTAGCATCTTCTTTTTCTAAAAACTAAAACCTTCATTTACATTCTTTTTAATTTTTTTAGCCATCTTTCTTTATCATAAATGTTTTGGCAATGATCGTAGGTACTACTGACGTTTCACACATATATTTGGTGAGATTTTTTAGATTCACTAAGACAGAATATTTCCTGTAGAAATAGCATGAAAATCAGGAAGAAAGATATTGTCATTGGTCAGGAATTAGTGTAACTGTTAATGATAATAATAAGTTTAT